CCTGTGCCAGTGAGAGGAATAGCGCCTTGTCCGTAGGAGGAATGGTGCCTGGTCATTGATGTCAGTGGGATTTCAAAATCCTTCCATGCATTGGAGTTATCTGCAGAATGTTCACATGTGCCTGCATTGCATGGCATGAAACAATGGGGAACATATATAGTATAACAGGACACATATGTTTGTCAGGAGCCTGGACTCAAATAAGTGTACGCTTAGGGGATAAATATTATATACATTGTTGATTTATGCCTGTTTTGCAATATTTAATATAGTTGGGATGAAGTTTCACATTATCGTTCAGGATTGAATAAATCTCTGTCCACAGAAAAAAAGAAAGAAAGAGCTGTTGGTGGACTTGAGCAGATATTTGGATATAATGTTTACTATCGGTGGAATAAGTAAGATGTGCATCAAATGTTTATGCTCTGGGTTTTGTGTGTCTCACTGTCGGTAATGGAAGCTGTCCTTCTTCATACAGGTTGTAAACTGGCTGGAAGGACCTGGTTTAGAACAGCTGAGAACCCAGTGGGGAATTGGAGACTCCATAAGAGCGTCTCAAGCCTTACAACAGAAGCATGAGGAGATTGAGAGTCAGCACAGTGTAAGTGGCTGTATGTCATTGTGGTTATATCACATATCTGCTGCTCATGTATGAGCCTTAAAACAATTCTTAGTGATATATTATACTGTATGTACATTCCAGTCACAGTTCAAATGTATGCTTTTATCTGCATACACAGACCTCATCCTTCCTCTTCCAGGATTTAGTTTCTCCAATGCTGAGTATCATCTTTCCTTACAATTCTTTCCATTCCAGGCTATTTTGTTGGGTACCTTTTTTGTTAACCCGGGGACCCTTTTGCTTACTAATTTGCAATGCATTAGAAATATTCCAAAACACACCCACCGTAAATGCTTTACTTTTTCTCATCCATTATATATATGGGCAATATATGTACATATATATATCTATATAGATATATATACAGAATTTTTCAGAACACATGCGAGGAGCTGTGTCAAATGTGGCTGCAGTGGATTGCGTAGGTGAAAGAATATATAGGCTGCCAATGCTGACTTCCTAAAAGGCTGGTTGCCAGGCCATCATGCTGCACATCTTATTCTAAGGCTGGCTTTATGTCTGTGTTTTAGTAATGTAAATATGTAAAATGTTTACGATAATGCAATTGTGCATAGCATTGTTGTGTCAAATATTTTGAATGGCACCCACTTTGCAAACGCACTCCAAAACATGTGCGTCTTAACTGAGCATAGTGCCCAATATGGGAACCATCTGCCACTGTCATGCATATGAAAACAAGGTTACTTGTCTGCTTTTTTATACACTGGCAGCCCATTCAGAATGAATAAAATTAAAGCACTTTTCAATGGACTTTTGTTTTCATCAGGGAGTTGAAGCAGGTCAATAATGGGTCAACTGCAGGTTCAATTTTATTGTGAATGATCTCAGAATCATCTTAAACTAATGTCAATCTGATTATGTCAACAAAAGCCCACAGCCCATTAACACATCAACATATGTTGATGTGTGGTACCTCATGTGGTATCCCAGTAACTCAAATTAGAGTTGTGTAAAGTCAACACAGGCAAAGGAAGAGTACGAGCAGAAAAGGGAAAGATCAGTGAGATAGCTTCCTAGTTGCACACCATGGGTCAACAGGATGTTGCACTCATCTAGGGTGCCTTAAAGGAGAACTATGAGGTGAGTGCTTTTCACTCATCCTCATAGTTCTAGCCGATGTAACTGTCACAGGTCGGCTCCGTAGATCGGGAAGTGAGCGAACACGCAGAGAGCAGTGACAGGGGAGGGACTGGATTCCCCGCTCCGATCCTCTAGCGCTGACTGGCGGAACGGACAGGGGAGGGGGCGGGTACAGCTGGCTCTGCCTCTAGATAGGCAGAGCCAGCTGTCACTCGCGCAGCTGGGCGGATACAGACATAATTGTCGGGTATACTGAGCTTAGGGGTGACAGGAGGGCGCTAGTTTGTGTCCTCCCGTTGCCCTTAGGAGAACTATGGGGAAAAGCCCTAACCCCATTGTTCTCCTTTTTATTATTCTCCTCCCCAAACCTTATAATTGCCATAATGGTGATACATTTCTGTAACCTGATGCAATAGGCATGAGATTTACATCTTCCTTATTGGAAAGGAAGGTAATTTAGAGGTTAGGTGGTTGTTCGCATAGTTGTATAGTAATAACCCATATGTGAATAACTAAAATAATCCATTTATGTCACATTTATATTGGTTTATTTATGTATGGTAACCTCTATAACCTGTGTCCAGCAATTTATGCACTGCATTATCTCAGCAGATACATTATCTGTGCAGCCAAATGCTGTGATAAGTAATGTCTTCCCTTATGAAGCTATTCTTATCAATTTCCACGTGGTGCTCAGGTTACCCTTCTTATCCAGAAGAGAGTGCAAATTATTACCTCAATGAACTAATAATTTAGAATGGTTTCTGATAACAGGAATGGCAGCGATACAAGATGTTGTTTCTGAATGACACAAAGTATATTCTTTACACTATCTCAGTGCTGACAAGCACTCCATCACACAGTGCTATTATTACCTGCCTGATTGCCCGTTTTTAATGCAGGAGTCTTATTGCCAGCAATGCCGGGGATGATTTTTATTTTTTGATGTATGTAAAAGTAGTGAGCCTAATATACATCATCTTATTCCTGTATTTTGTTTTAAAAAGTTGGTTTCCATGCATAATTTTTTAAATATACAGTGTATGTATAGTATACCTACTGGAACTAGCAAACTTTGAAAAAAAAAGTTGATTTAACAGTTTAATACATTTTATTCCTACCCCCTGTGCTACATTTCTTTACGCCTTGTTTTAGCAATGTTCACTAACATTGAAGATGTCCCCAACAACTCCTTTTCTTATTGCACACACAGCCTCATTCATTCCAGTGGGTGAGCTGTTTTGTAGAAGAGAGGAGTTGTCGGAGATGTTTTTGGAAGATAGCTGGTGCCAAGTTGAGCACGGACGCACAGTTACGAGGAAGGCAAGTATTCAATATGGTGATCTGCATTACAGAGAAAGGGGATTATTTAAAAAAAATTTGCTAAAAGGGAATTTGTTTCTTGTCTATTGAGAGACACAGGAAATCTTTAACCTTTGGGTTATACTGCAGGCCAAACAGGAGGATTAGACACTGGTAAACACTGGTAGGCCAGCTTAGGATAACCCCTCTTTTTACCAGTATGCATCAGTTTTTTACTAGTGTCCTAGGAGGATAGACGTCTTTTTTTTTCATCCTATTTTACAGTACTTTGTTTTTCTTAACTCAAGACACATCTTTACATTGCTGCTGGAGCTTACTTTCTCTGATTACAGCTATCTGGCTCAGTCATTCTCAGCCTGGCTTTCAGAGTACCATATCCGGACTCCGTTAGACAGGTTGTCTAACTGAGTCCCTTCCAGGCTCTTGATAGCCTGGAAGGGACCTTTGGTTATTGCGTTCCCTATTGGGCAATTTCCAGACTCTGTTCTGGTAAAAGTTGTCTGCAGAGCCTTATACCCCCAACAGTTATTTGTGTACTCTGATCACAGAGGCTACAAGCTTGCTTTGTGTCTTCTCTTGCATATTCTATATTTCATTTGCCACTGGCCCTAGCAACTTTAGAGCCATCGGCTGCAGAGACTCTTTATTATTATTCTGATACCCTTATTGATGCAGTGTGCACCACTCTAGAACTAAAGGAGTGCTGTTTCCTGTCTAGGCTTCTTTTAAACTAGTTAGGACCCAAATACTTTTACTTTGCAACCTCTTTTTCCACCTTTTTCTGTATGGAGTTTGAAGGCATCCTGATAAGCTTTTTGCTTTACCCCCAAGAATTTATTAGTCTTCTAACCGTTTGGTCAAGGATTTTTCTGCTCTCCCACTTTAGATCCGACCGTGTCCCACCTTAACAAGGCGCTTACTATTCTGTAGAGGATGCACCTATCTTTAGGGACCAAACCAAGAAGTGGTTGGAGGCCCTTTCTAGAGCTCTGCTCTTGCTGGTGGGTCCTGCCCTTCACCCGAACCTGGCTGTGACATGTTTGGTTGGTCAAATTCCCTAACCACTGCTGCGTTTTATCCCTTGCTTATGGAACATGTGTAGCAGATGTCTGTAGCGTTAAATTTCAGCAGTGAAGCTTTGCTGGAAGGCTCCTGTCTTGGTTCATGCCTGGGTCTCCTGTCAGTACTGTACATAGAGCCCATAGAGACCTTGGGCTGAAGTGCTGTGCTGTGGAACCTGTGTAGGAAACGGTTGCTAATTAAGACTTTTGTACAGGGGGTTTCTTGTAGATCCTCCATCCATTGCCCTGTGACTCCATGGGACTTGACTCTGATTCTCTCCACCTTATGAACCCATTAGAGACATTCCTCTTACTACTCTCACACTCATGGTGGCTTTTGATACAGCCATTACCTGTGAGTGGCTGAACTGGTTCTGTTCTCACATACTCTAAGTTCTACTACGTTTTTCTGTTTGCCCGTGTCCAATCCTACTGTAGGTGACACTATACCCAAAAGATTAAAGATGTCCTGTGTCCCTTAATGGATTCCAGAGAGAAAGGATTTTATAGTGAATACAAAAACCTTATTTTGGCCTTTAAGCAAGAAAGCTGCATTATGTGATGTATGAAAGATCTTCTAAAAAATACAATCATATATGTTAGCGCAAAGTACAAGCACCAAAAATTAGATATTTGATATTTGCATTAGGGATGCACCGATACAAGCATCGGTATCGGCCGCGATACCGAGTATTTGCATGGGTACTCGTACTCGTGCAAATGCTCTGATGTCCAAAACGAGTACCTGTGTCCGCCATCTTCCACCGCCGCACACAGCACACAGGACCGCATCTGCATTCATGCAAGATGGCCGCCAACTCCTTCTCCACGGGCGAACGGCCGAAACCAGACTTTGCCTTCAATTCCTCTGTCCTCACTCGTGATTGGTGGGGAAGCCTGTCAATCATCCAATCGGCCAATCAGCGTGAGAAGAGGCAACATGTCAAGGCCCGAACACTGTAGTGCATAATGCATACATATAGTGTGGAACAGTTATATTTATTTCTGCATACCTGGCTGTATATTACATTTTTAATGTATAATATACAGCCAGGTATGCAGAATTAGATACAACTGTGCCACACTACAGGTGTGGGCTGGGCACAGGATGGCATAAAAAAAAAGTTATATCTGCCCCTTTAAGAAAAAGTATCGGTAATTGGTATCGGCGAGTACTAAAAAAAAAAAAGTATCGGTACTCGTACTCAGACCCAAAAAAGTGGTATCGGTGCATCCCTAATTTGCATAACTGCAGTCTGCTGTCCTGTGATGAAGTGGCAGCTGGCAGTGTACTTTTATAAGTGTTACATACAGGATATCTTGTAGAAGCTGTATCTAGGTATGTATTACAAATACCATATTCGTTTTAAATGTAATAAGTTGTCATGGATCTGTCGTCTTTCATAAAAATAGTTGCAAGATTTGCCTGTCGATGGCCTTCGTTTTGTTTGTTGAACTAGCTGATGCCATTTGTGTAGGATGATCCTTCTTATTTTTCCATCATTGTTCATCTGCTGCCTTCTAGGAATGGTTTGCTGTGTATGTGGAACTTAACCAGCAGATTGCAGCCCTCCTGAATGCTGGAGATGAAGAGGACCTGGTGGAGCTGAAGGGTTTGCAGCAACGACTCAGTGATGTCTGTTACAGGCAGGCCAGCCAGTTGGAATTTCGGCAGAACCTTTTACAAACGGCACTAGAATTTCACGGTGTTGCTCAAGAGGTATTGCTGTCCATGTAAAAAAAAAAAGTATAGATCTCTAGTCCAAGTTGACAAACATAACCAGTTGAATTTGTTTTCCAAGGATTTGATGAAAAGTCTAGAAGGAATAACTTTTAAAGCTGCTTTTTAACCTGGTGCAATATAAAATCTATTTTGGTCTCACATTATTAATTTACCTCTATTTCAAATTTGAGTGTAAACATGTAATAAATAATATTTACATTGTTTTAGTCTATTATGCATGCACCAACTTTTAAAGTACAATTCCAGAAAGTTATGAAACAAGTAGCATTTGATCTAGGTATGTATTCAATAAACGACATTATTAAAGTGACATTAAACTCAGGAGTTAAATGTTAAAAAATAAATTCAAGTACCCTAACTATTAACAACAATGTAGATTATTTGTGTATCACTTGGCTATAGATCCTCAAATTATCTCTAAATATTTTCTGTTGTTCTTCAGGTGGTTGGCTACTTTTGTTCCCCATGGTCCCTGGTTGTGTTGTAAAGTAGTCACCGCTCCAAGATCACTCCTGTGATGGACTACAATCTCACGTTTAGTTTACTAATTTGTATTGAGATTGCAGTCCATCACAGGAGTGAGCCTGGAGCGGTGGCTACTTTTCAACACAACCAGGGACCATGGGGAACAAAAGTAGCCCCCCTCCATAATGAAGGACAGTGTCAGCACCAATTCAGAGATGATTTGAGGATCTACTGGGCATAAGGTCCCTCATGCATCTCGTTCAGCTGCAGGGTTGCAGACTGCCAGTGTCCCTTGTGGGACAAAAAAAAAAAGAAAATAGGATTTTTGTTTTTGCAATCCTTTCCTTGGACTCCATTGAGGGACCTAAGTTCCACCACTCTGTGTTTATGGTCATGCTCCTGATACTGCTTTGCTACAAAACTGAAGCATGGTGGTAGTAGGAGGGGTTATCCTGGGCTGGCCTACAGTTTGTTCACCAGTGTCCAATCCTCCTGTAGGAGGCAGTATAACCCAAACGTTAAAGATATTTTCTGTCCTTAACCTACTGGATTTTACAGTGATTAATAAAATCCTATTTTCCTTTTCCATAAACCGCCTCTGCACTTCCTGTCCATGTCAGGCAAAGTGACCCCTTATGGGCAGCCTGATTTCACATGTTATAATTAATTCAGCATTGCTATAAACAAGCTGAACTGCAGTTTCGTTTTATATGTACAATACCCTAATTCTCAGTGCTCGTAAAGCTGCAATATTTTTGCTAAAAAAGCCTTTTGTCGCCAAGTCTAGTAACAGCTTGCTTCACAGTTCTGAACACTGCAGTAGTCTGATTCCTAAATATTGTTTTTGTCAGTTGTCGCAGCAATTGGATGGCCTGCTGGGGATGCTGTGTGTTGATGTGGCCCCTACAGATGGAGCAGCAATTCAACAAACATTAAAACTGCTTGAGGAGAAGCTGAAAAGTGTTGGTAAGGAGCAGACACAGTTATGTGCGCTGATTACAATGCAAATACAGATTAAAGGAGCCCTTTTGAAAACATTTTAATGGGGTTTATTTCTTGAAGGAAACATATAAGCTTGCTTCACAATTCTGAACACTGCAGAAGTCTGATTCCTAAATATTGCCAAAAATATGGCACTTGCCATTACTAACCTGTCTTTTTAAAAATTTAGTTGCATGGCTGTCATGCTAATCCAGCGTTTTCAGTACTTTCTCTTAGTAAAATAATAAAGAGTTCTGACTTCACTGTGATTTTGGTTTCCACGTGGTTGTTGCCATTTGGTGACACTACGGGGTCTATTTATAACTCTTCTGCATAGCCATACGCTGGGTTAAATGCTCTTCACACAGCATTTCAACCACGTGATGGAGCTGAGGAGCATAGGAATTTCCTATGCTTCTCAGCTCCAGCTCTTGGGGGGAATGCCACGCAAACAACATTCATCCAGCGTACGGCTGGGCAGAAGAGTCGGAAGTATTTTAGGCAGGCAGCTAGCATTTTCAGAAGAAGAAATCAGCAATGACAGCCCCATATTTCTCTCAGTACAGGTTTCCTTTAACCCTTTTGCTGCCCGGCCCAGCCTCCCATTTTTCAGTTCAGTTGACCGGACCATTTTTTGTGTTTTTACTTGCAGCTTGGTTGGAAAAAGACCCCCCAAACCATTCATTTTCTCGAAGTACAGGTCTTGTAGAATTAAAAGATGGTGCTACTAATTTTGCACGTCCCATGATAGTTGCACAGATGTTCATAGTTTAAATAAAAGTACACAAAAATTATTATTAGTGCACACAAATGCAGCATCATTTTCAAAACGCATACTAAAGCTAAAGGATTTCGATTTATTAATAACTTAACGCCTGCGGTAATGCATGTGACATGACTGAGCATTTCCAATTTCGTTTCATCAGCCACCAAATTGGTAATTCCAGGCAGTCCAGGCCACCAAATGGCTGTAAGAAGTGAATATACATTTACAGCCTGTAAAACTGCAGTGGGCATAAGGGTTACTAAGCTAGCCTACTTACAATCTGTTTTGTTCTGATGTAACCCAATGCAATAAAAGGGTTTATATTATATGAGTTGAAATTATCTTTTGTAGTCTCTGTTGGAAGCCTGTGTGACAGGGTGACAACACTGAAGCACACCTGGGACACAATTTATATTAAATATATCCATGTCTTGGCATCATTGTCTCCCTTAACCCCACAAGAGCTGTGAAAGGGCCCTTTCTCCACATATAAGCAGGTGGCTCCATAAGTAAAAGATCACATTACTTACTTTCCTTGAAAGACCCTGAACTCATAATATAGAAAATTTGCTATGTCTGTAGCATACTACATATGGTCTTAATTGTCGAGGGTCGTACACCTTGTACATTGCAAACATTACTTTGTCATATTAGTAGTTATCATTGACAATTTGAAAACCGTTTTTCTTTACTTGGTTCTGAAGCCAAAAGCCCCACACTGAGAACTACTAGCTGGCTGAAATTATATTGACTAGGGATGCACCGATATATCGGTCGCCGAAAACATATCGGCCGAAAATGGCACTTTTGGCATAATGCCGAAAGTGCAATTTTCCTGCCGATACATCGACGCATCCGTGGTTTCTTTTCTCCCCTGCTGGGCGCTGCTCGGTGTCCCAGTAGGGAGAAGAGAAAGTGACCGCCGGCGGAGCGCTGCGGTGGGGAGCGCTGTGAGCGGCCAGCGTCTCCTCCCACACCGCTCTGCCGCCTATCACAGTCCGGCAGAGCGGTGTGGGGGGCGGAGACAGCGATGTTACAGGAGGCTGGGCTTATCTCCCTACACCGCT